GTTAAGAAACGTCAGGCGGTCCGTTCGGATTTCTCCGAAAGCCAGTCGGCATATTCCAACAAACCGAAGAATCGTTAAGAACCCTCGTAAGTCAAAGTACTCGCTACAGCACGTTCTGGTTTGGGCACTACGACAGAGGGCTTTGTTTGGGGGCACTCAGCACTCGATACGGATCTTCGGAGATCTAGGGGGTTTCCTTTATCATTGGTGTTACGTAATTGTAGAGAAGCGGCCCCGCTTCTGCTTGCATGGGCGAGCATGCCCTGCGCACTCGTAAATATAAAGGTCTTGAGTCATCCTTGGCTTCTCTGCGCGTTGACAACAAGCTGCCCGCCTCCAAATAAATCGATCGGGGCTGGTTGAGGGCAGCCGGTAGGAGCGTAAGATATACAAGGGCGCTTCGCGGTGTACCGCTTCGCTCGTAGGTAGGTTGTATGGCGATGGCAAGAGTGTGCGGGTTGAGTTTTTCAATGAGAGGAGCGGAGGAGAAGTGTTGTTGTGAGAAGAACAAGGAAGGGTTGTGAACAGGAAAAGTTGTTTGTTCTCATTTGTTCGAGAGCGGAGACGCACAATGAATGAAGTTACAGTGATACGACGGCCGGAGGACAGTATTTCAATACGACTGTGTTTTTTATGAAACAAAGCCTCGCTTCTCTCTCCCTTCCCCCCTCTCCTATGTGTGCTACCCACCTCTCCCTCAGCGAGACGGTACAGACAGCCGAACAGTTTTTGCTGGTAGGGTGTGTTCTTCGTATGTACAGCGGTCGGTGGTGAGAACCGGGCTTGAGTACGGGAGGCGAGGGAAGCAGTCGCGCAAATCATCTTAGCTTGTTTAGCACGTTTTGAGTGTGTGTTTTCGCCCTATTTACTATTGGTGAAAGTCCCCACATTTTTCGTGGTGAGACGTGTACTACACTATTCAGTGTATGTAGCGTACTACACTCTGCAGTGTATTCTTCGTACAACTACAACCATCCAGGGTCACACAGGAGAGGGTAAACACCAGGGCTTTTTCTTCTTTTTATTCATTTTCATGCCCAACCTTCCTCCTGCGGTGCGTGCTGAGTGATGGCAAAAAGAAAAAGCAGGGAATATCAGAATCGATTTACGGAGAATAGACTATATCTGAAACAGTCTGCTTCAACCACATTTGCCGGTGGGTGTAGTGTATGGTGTGGAAATCATGGGCACACGGCTATGCACTATGCTGCACCGAGGCGGTTTGAGGGCACATCCTCCACGTGCGGTGAATATGGCCACATCTCAAACATTTGTGTCATGTATGGTGATGGAGTGGCACACCAGCATGTGAACGCCGTTGCGACGCCTGCGACGACGTCCTCCCTTGTGGGGGACATTTCCGCAGAGGTGGAGTTGACTTCTTCTTTCGCGAGGAAAGTTCCCCACGAGTTTCCAATCGCTTCAGACTGGTCCTTCACATTTTCTGGGGCGCCCGCATTCGCGGCTGGACCCGCGGATACGGCGAGTGGTGGTGTTTTCCCTGCTGCTTCGGCGGAGAGAATGGCTGGAGAGCCCGCGGTGGCGGCTGCAGCGGTGACATCGGCGGCGCCCCCAGCGGCGACGGCGGACGCGGCCGGTGGTGGTGTTTTCCTCGCTGCGGTGGCGGGCTGAACAGCCAGAGCGCCCGAGTTGGCCGATGGGAGGGCGGGATAGCGTCCGTGGCACCGGCGGCCACGGCGGCAACCGTGCAAAGGTCCGTGGCGATAATGGAGTCGCCAACACCGCTTGTGCAACAGCAGTACCAGCCACCGAGAGAGATGGGGATGTCGCCTTCGGGGGGCGAGCCACTGCTCGACATCCGTCAGGAAGAGGCATAACAGACGGATGACACCGACAGCACCAGCAGCAGCAGGGATGGTGGGAGGCACGCCGAGGAGGTCGGCGCCAGCAACAGCAGCGGCAGCAACAGCAGGGGCAACGACGTGGGGTTGTATGTTGCTTGGTTTGGAGCATCGCTGCGCCCTTNGGGGCGAGCCACTGCTCGACATCCGTCAGGAAGAGGCATAACAGACGGATGACACCGACAGCACCAGCAGCAGCAGGGATGGTGGGAGGCACGCCGAGGAGGTCGGCGCCAGCAACAGCAGCGGCAGCAACAGCAGGGGCAACGACGTGGGGTTGTATGTTGCTTGGTTTGGAGCATCGCTGCGCCCTTCGACCCGGGGAAACGAAGCATCTGGTGGTGGACGATACGCCGAGGAATTAGGCGAACGGAACAGCAACAGCAGCAGAGGCGGCAGCAGCAGTGATGAAGGGCTGGATGTGGCCTTTTGGAGCATCGCTGCGTCCCTTCGACCCGGGGAAACAGTTGAGGCGAGGTTTGATGGGGGGGTGCTGGGGGTGGACACCCTTTTCGACCGTGGAAAGGCGTGGGGGCGGCGACGGCCGGGGCGCATGCGTTCGAGGGTGGAGCAGCGGAGGAGGGTCTGGTGGCCACGGGAGCTGGGCGCCGAGACATGTTGGCGGAAGATTCCAAGTCTGGGCCGATGCAACGCGGGGAAGTTTCGAGGTTTTGTTATTCTATTTTGAGCGGTTTCTAGATGAAAGTTTCAAATTTTGGTTGACAATCATATTAGAGTGTTTTGTTGTTCAATTTCTCGTTTGAGTGTGTATTGTTGCAGAGGACTGATCATCGTTTGTTGCAGATAAGCGTACGGTCGTGATGGTAGATAGAGGCATTGCAAACCTTTGTCGCCAACCAAAATTTACCGCCACAAGCTTCCCCATGATCGTCGAATCCCTGTTTCCAAGAAACGCACTACAGTAAGCCATGTACTTCGCCAGCTCCTCCACCATCTCCCCTTCCTCCGACCCCTTCGCAATCCATGGGCTCTTCTGCGCTCGTACCCTCCACTTTATCCACATGTTCCAAGCCCCCGTGTNACCACTGCCACCACCCCACCTCTGCCATAAACTCCCATGTCAG